GCCAAGCTTATCAGAGCAGGCTGTATTGAATGTCGAGTCAAGAATCCATCGAGCAACGGAATTTTTATTCCTAACCCCTCCTGTATCATTCAAGGAGGTTTTCATCGCCCAGGATTCAGGTATGTAGAATATGTTTCCCTGTGATGTCCTAGGATCCTAATCGTGTCGCAGGCATAGAACGGCTCGCATTGAAGATTTTCTCCATTCGACTCTATGACGGTAGTTCTGGCCAGTGCCATACATACAAACTCCCTCACGGGCGGTAAGCATGAAAGGCAGGTTTGTGTACTCCGACTGATGATTGATTCTATCAGTGGTTTCATACATCACATTAAAGCTGGTAATCCGCACTGGAACTGGGAAGCCGATGAAATCTTCCAAGAGTACCAAGCTCAAGCTTCGACAGGGGCCTTGCCGTTCCGGAGATGGCCTATGAGAGCTGTAAGTCTTCTCGATTCCTGATTGAACACCCTCTGATCAGATTTCTAGCATAAATGTAAATATCATCTGTCTGTCATCTTTGGATTTATCTCATCCTTGAGCAGGTCGTGGTGCCCTTCTGACAAACTACTTTTCACAAAACGGTTTGTAATTGTTTTCCCCCGTGTTCACTCAAACTTACCGCTTTCGAGTAGCGGGCGTACCCTATCAAGTAAGACTGACCGGTCCCTTGATCTCATTGACTAATTCCTATCTAGTACGTTGGTGGAACAGAGAATACACTCTCCTTCGACCAAGTACCAGGCGCGGTCGTGAGGGCTCGAGACCTCATACAAACCCGCGTCAAACAGGCCCTCGAAAGGGACGAGACTTTCAATGAAGTGCTCAGGTAGTCTCCAACCCATCTGGTTTCGCCGCCTCTGATATCTACTATTTCCAGTGCTGCCTACATGGAACGACAAAGGATGGCTGTGGGCATAAACATCTTCGCCTACGACCTGTACTGACGCCATATATTTTAGTTCCATACGGATGATGAAGTGGGCCTGGGTCCCTTGGTTGCTGGGCTATCCCTTGGATCTCCAGCTTTGATGCACTTCCGTGTCCTGGCGAGGCATACCCCCGAAGGAGCGCCACGGAGCATCGCCATCTCGTTTGTTCTTCGTCACGTGAGTGACCGAACCATCTACACTACTTCTCCTGCCTTAACGTTTAACAGGGCGACGTTCTCGCCATGGATGGGGCAGGTGTACAGCAGTATTATGAGTAAGGCGTCTTCACGATCGTCAATTTCAGAGGCTGACGTGGCCCAACTAGGCATACGGTTGTCCCAACTAACTTCCGCATTGCTGCGACTGCGCGCTGCATTAATATCACCCATCCGAAACGTGAAAATTCTAATTGAGTCATATATTTATTTGCTATCTATCTGCTGTGTACTATCATTTTTGGCTGTCAGTGTGTATAGATCTCTTGTCGCTATCGTGGGTATGGCAATGGACGGTATTGCTGGTATGCATTTGGGGGAGCACACGCTGAATATTGAGGTTGTCGATGAAGAGGGCGATTCTGGTAGGCAGCAGTCACAGTCAATGGCGCAGGCTTCGAGAGTCGTGTCAAAGATATAAAACACGAGAACCCATTTCACACTCACTACTCCTGATGTCTGTTTCTGATTTGCGTGGAATGCGTGCAGGTTTGCGATTTTGGTTTCTACAGCCCGTTTCTCCGACTCCAGACGGCCAAGATCCTGTGCAACAGTTACGACCTGCCGCGCGAGCTCCCCCTTCAGCTGGTCTACTTGCGCTAAGGACGGCTTGTGCTTAGCCTCCCAAATGATTTACAAAACACATCGTGCTTACTCTGAACATTGATGACGGTGGCCTCTTTCATTGCTTCGACGAATCTCAGCCTTTCCCCTTTGATCTCTCCTGATATTTCTGAAACGGGTGAGCATCGTTTACATAGGTATACAGGACAAGCCTGACCTGCAGTAAATCCCCGTAGGAACTTTTCCTGTTCTTGGCGCTGGCGTTCCATGAAACCGGCGAGTGTATGTATAGCTAAAAATGCCGTGAAAGTGAATGTCATAGTTCACGGAGAGGTGACCTACTCATTGTATTCTGGGAACTCATGTTGACCGTCTCCGTGAGCTTGTCCACAGAAGACTGGAGTGACGAAGTATCCGCCTGGCGTCTTAACTCCCACAATAGAGCATGTATCTCGCCGAGGACGCTCCCATTCGTATTGCTATTTCCCGAACCTAGATCTTTGCATAGCTGCTCAACGTTAGTGGCTAACCCGTTAATTTGGGCCGTCCCGTTTTTGACGAAGTTTTCTAGCCACTGCACGAATGATGTCAGAACGTTCGACCTTGTTTGGGACATTGCTCACAGAATTGAGTTCGTTGAGGTATCGAACACTGTCCGCCTGTTGTTGAACTTGCATCGCGCGCTGACCATTGTCATTCTCAACCAGTGTACTAATTCTCGACAACTGCTCATCATCGATATGAGGATTAGACAGGTGGCAAGAAATCGCAAACCTACTTCATCGATAAGGGCCGGATGACTTCCCAAGCCCGAGGATTGAATTTGCTCACGGAGTGGTGACAAGTGAGTCAACAATGCCCCGTCTATGTGTTGCCAAAGTTCACTCAAGTCGGCTTTGGTGATTTCAGGCGTATCTTGCTGGGTCCTATCCGCGATAGTGAACGGTGGATTGGGTCGCGCGTCGACAATATTTCGGGTGCTCTCCAAGTTCTTCAGGTACTCCATCAACATTTCCATTCGATTCACCAAATCAGATCGGACAGATTCCAATGCTTGCTTGGTCTCAGCGCAAGGTGAATATAGTTTGGGCTCGGCATCGACAGGTCGTTGTGCTTGGAGAGGTTGAGTCTGAAGGGACTCAAACTTGCGCACCAACTCTTCCACAGTTCGTTTTGTCGACTGAGAGCGGTTATCGACATCCTGTAGAACCTGATGAATGGTGGGTTTCCCAGTCTCGCCGCCGAGGACGTTCCTAATGGCAGTTAAATCATCAGAGAGAGGCTTGATGCACCCTCGTAGTCGTTCCTCAAGAGCTTGTGAGGTGGGTTCATCATCGACATATGGGAGTTCAGAGCGAATGCTGTCATTGCGTTCAAATGCTGGCCTCATGCCCATGCCCAAAACACTATCCTCACCCCCTGGCTCCGGATCGACGTGCGGAGACCTGGGAAACCCCGCGAATTGCGGTGTTCGAAGAAGCTTGCTTTCTCTCAAGTGCTCGAACGGCACCCGCTCGTCTGTCTGCTTATGTTCATCTTCCATTGTCAGGACACTTAGAAATCCACTTCTTCCCGTTCCAGTTGAACTTGCAGGGGAATGAGGCGACAATGTTTGGCTTACTCTCTTAGGGCATGGGCTGCCAGCAGCGCGAGCGTCCTCACCATTCTGTATCTGTGCTAGACGTTGCTTGACTACAGAGCATTGTCCAAGTTTCGCGATGGATGGACTAGCAGTCGGGGTTCGTGGTAGAGGAGAGGGTGAATATATGCTAGGCGAAGTTGTCCGTGCCGAATCGATTCGAGGCATAATGTCAACCTTGGATATCAATGAAGTTGGGGGAATTATTATCGGAGGTGGCATCCTGGGAGTTTTTGGAGGAACAGGAGGGACGGATTGTCCCCCTCGGACTGGGTGAACCGGCGTGTTGTTAATGACCGGTCCCAGTGCAGGCTTCTCGTGCAACTTCGTGGACTGGGTTTCGCCGAGAGAAGCCCACCCCGCCGGTTTTTGTGCCAGCTCATCTTGGGAGTCGAAGGCACCTTTTGTGTTTCCTCCCGTAGGCAGAATAGAGTCCCTGCCATTGTAGTTAGTACGTCTCAGAAAAAATCAGGCCGACGCTGCTGACCAAAGTGCACTAATCCAGGCCGCCCTTTCTCCCAGGTTCCTCGCGGCAAACCTCTCCTTTTCTCGTCCTTGTAAACCTAATTCAAATATTTTCAGATTGCGAGTGTCCTCTTGTTGGAATAGGACCTCTGACTCGTCTTCCTCTAACTGGGCATTTGTAAGGGAGCGGGCATCTGTGCATCGGCTAAGCTCAAATTCAAAGACACTAACGCCATCGTTTGGACCGCGGGCTACCTGGGAGACGGTCAGCTTCCGAGCGCTGATGGTGCAAGTGCATAACCTCCACACAACCGAAGTATGCGGGTCATCTCTAGGGCGAGAGAGATGCCACAAAGAACCAGAGAATCCAATCCTCCCTTGGTCAGCTAAAGTGTTTTGGGATGTTTTTAGGATGGTCGGTGATGGAGATTGCTGGGCGGACAATCCAAAGCCCCTATTCGGGAGGGTACATCTCGTAGAATTCGAGTTCATCGCCCGCATGGTGAAATCTCTATCCTTGACTGGTAGTTGAGGGGGTCGCCCCAAGTCCGTATCAACGCCATTCTTGTAGATATCCCTTACGCTTGTATTTCCGCTAACTTTTGGCGTGCCCTTCTTGAATGCCGAGAGAAAATTACGAATGCTCTGCCGAAGAGGAGATCTGGTCTTGATTTTGTTTCCTGATGTCTCGTGGATCCTGTCCTTATGCGGCACCGTAGGTGGGTGTTCCCGCCCCCCATGACCTGCCGATGGGCCCTCGGGTTTCACTGTGCTGCTTCCTGGAGACGTATACATTTTTTCATATCTTTCCACCATAGCTCGTGCTGATGGATGGTGCACGAGACCAGCTCCTGCGCGTGGTCCATCTTTTCTACTGTGCAGCAGCGACTCGCCCGACCTTATTCCCGCATAGCCTGCGCTAAGACTGAGTGCACCGATGCTTGCACTAGTAGAAAAGTTCCCGTATTGTGTGGAAGTCACGCTTTCGGCGATACTCCGAGGTCCCTTCATCCCCCTATTATCTCTTGACGTTGAAGGGGACCAGCGAGGGCAGTAAGAATTCAAGAAGGCCACTCAGAGATGAAAAATAGATAGCAGCAATGAATGTTTCGACGCTTCAAGGAATGGTTATATGATGGGCGATTCAGTTTGAGACCAAGCGGCAGAGACAAAAGCCAAAAGAATTGCTCCCTACCAGGGTCGAACTGGTGATCTCCGGATTAGATGATCGAATTGATCACTCATAACTGCTTATGAGACCGGCGCTCTAACCAACTGAGCCAAGGAAGCTGTTGAAAAGACTTGCAATTCATACAATAGGTCATCGATACACTTAAGCCGCCACACATTCATTATCAGCAATCAGATCGGTGGTCATAAATTTGAAGTGAATAGGAATACTTTCGGGAATAAGAAATAATCAACCAAGTTCACAAGGCTCGTTATCACACCCCACCGGAGGCTTTGCGTCCGATTTCATGCTGGTCAAACTGCCCCGTCACCGCTTGTTAACACTCCGATTCACATTTATCTATGTTTATGCGCTTGTCTTTATCTACAATGTACCTTTATATTCCTCTTCATCGTCCCAACCAACCCAGAAGACCCGATTTCTAATAGATCAATTTTGCCCAGGACGAGAAGTTTGTTCTCCAGCGGCGGCTGATTCAAGGTTGGAAGTCGGCGGGAACCGTGAAGCGAAATCGGCATTGCGGAACTGTCGACGTTGTGGTTGACTTGTCTTTGCTTCCAAGCTTGCTTCCGGCGGCAGAGTAATAGTCGTTTGATTGGTAGGTGTTTGAGCTTGAATCTTCTTCATCCGATGGCCCCCAGGGCTCAAACCAGATGGGAAATTGTTGAGGTCGCTTCCACGAGAAGTACGTGCGACAACTACAGGGAGCTCCTGGCGACGAGGAGGGACATGCGCAGCGCGGGTAACGAGAGTGAGGAGTGCGGGTACCAAAAGGAAGAGTACGAATTGCATGGTGAAATGAGCGGAGTTGGGGGTATCGAGGATCGGAGTTTAGTGGTCTTTGTAGGTTGTAAGAATGATAGGTGAATGAAGGTGAGGCGGACGGCGGGGATCTTTATATGCGCTCGGGAGTGGTGATGTCATGCGCCGACAGTGACGATGGGTCCAAGGACGTCTATAATTATCCAGTGAGCACCCAGAGATTCCGCGGCAGATACTAGCATTCAGATTTCACTCGGAGGTGCCGGTGATTGGTGACCAGCCGTGCAACTTTCAAACATAGGATGCTACAAATTACCACGAGTAAGGTTTACAGACACAGGGCTTGTCCATTTGTGTTGGTCGCGGAAGAAATCAACCTAGGATGGCCCTTGAGGATGCCCGATTTTCATAGAATGTTGGGAAGCGGTGTAAGCGTATTTGCACCTCCTTCTGGCCCTAGAACCGTGACTTCTGTATCAAACGAACTCGGAAGCTGAAAAGACACCTGGCGTCCGCAGTATAGGTGCCGGTGATTGGTGACCAGCCGTGCAACTTTCAAACATAGGATGCTACAAGTTACCACAAATAAGGTTTACAGACACAGGACTTGTCCATTTGTCTTGGTCGCGGAAGAAATCAACCTAGGATGGCCCTTGAGGATGCCCGATTTTCATAGAATGTTGGGAAGCGGTGTAAGCGTATTTGCACCTCCTTTAGTGTGGCGCGAAATAGGTCCCGGACCTAATTCGCAGGTGAGATTCACGCCAGACCTGTGGGGGGCCTATTTCGCACCTGTAAATCACAGCTAATTTGCATATTTCCATTTTGGGCAAAACCACGCAAATTAGCCTTGCGAAATAGCAAATTCGCGCCTGATTCACGGTGAATTTTGGGATGTTCCCGGCTTTGTTCATTTCGACAAGGAGGCTCACTACGCCTACGTATACTACCACTGTGTCCACTCGTCATCCTGGATCGAGTACGCAACTGCATTAGCATCATGTCATTGGTATTGGGCAAGAACTTTGTATCCGGCTTCTTTGGCTTCTTGGTCATCATTCTCTGGGTTTAGATGAGATGAGGGAGAGAGTCTGAGGGGGAGGACAGAAAACATGATTCAATTGATGGCGCCATACATAAATTCTATGACAGGTAAGCCTCTTAAAATGGCTATAATCCACCAGAAATGTCCGAGTATATTCCAGGCTGATTAGCCCAAATTCGCATGGGGTCCCGGAGGGCACAGCTAATTAGCTGAGATTCACCGTGGAAAATAGCATGTGCTAATTAGCAGGGGGCTATTCCGCGCCACACTAACCTCCTTCTTTTGTATCAAACGAACTCGGAAGCTGAAAAGACACCTGGCATCCCGCCCCGCTCCTGGCCAGGGCTACTTTGTCGGAAGAGCCAGCCACGAAGTGGATATAAGGAACATATCAATCTTCATAAAAGACGCAAGGATTGTTAAAGCGAAGTCGATAAATGACGAGCTGGATTCCTCCGGTTGAGGCGAAAGTCAACAAAACATGAAAAGTGGGTCCTCTCCCTGATAGATGAGAAAAGCACTTGGGCTACGATCGACGATCGATAGGCGGGTTTTCATCGATCCATTTTATTGGCTCTATGGATTTTGATGAGGGTTCGTCCCTTCGTAAAGAAGGGAGTGGCAACAATCACGATTGGGAGGATCCATTTCATCTGAGTCTAGCGACGAAGAGGTTTTAGTTCCTCCCAGTTATAGATGAGTTGGCTGTTTTACAGTCCTTCGGAGCTCGGGTTAATGGGAAGCAATCGAAGCCTAGGTACTACGCTTGAACCACAACCAAGGCCAGCCCCACGAAGACAAGGTGGTCGCAGAAAGAGAGTTCGATTTCAATGTCCGATTTCTTTTCCGAAAACTTGGTTCTCTCCAGAGATTCCCTTCATTGATGAAATAATCGCATGTACAGGTTACAAACGGCAGTCCAAAGCTGACCGGGGGGGGGGTAGGAATGCTGTACAAGATATAATTACAAATGGGTGAAGGTGTTAGACTATGTCGTGTACCAAAAGAAGGTGGGGTGCAAGAATTAAGAATCTGTAATGATACATTAACGAAGCAAAAATAAGGGTATTAAACCAAATGAATATCAGTACAGAAGTTCATCTCGGGACGTCAAATGGATCTAATCACAACGCGATACCACTTTCAAAAGGATTCGTCGGGATGCTCTTCCTCGTCACTGCGGGGTGAGCGATCTTTACTCTATGCTCGTCATCAAAAAGCGACACAAAAGGGTTCTCGGACACGCTCGGCTGGCGAGCGTGTGGAACATTCGAAGAGGTGAGTAACCTCTCCAGACTCCCAGCTGCACCCCCGATAGCGTTTCCTGCACCAACACCGGTCATATTCCCGCCCCGATTCATGGCGGGGAAACTGACAGACCGACGGTGTTGCTGGACAATGTTGAAGGCAGCAGAAGGCGATAAGGGGGCTTGATGGTACCTTCGTGAGGTTGAAGGGACAGGATATCTCGAGGGTCCAGTCTCGAATCCATAGTGCAGCGGAATGAGAGTTTGGGGTTGTTGGGGCTGAGATTGGGTAGTGATACCACTATGTACGTCGTCCGGCTCGATGTCAGAGGGCACAGTGCTAAGGTTTCGGGCGTGTTTGGGTTGAAGGGGCCTGGGAGGGGATATTGAAGGATGGGAGGGAGGGAGGCCGGCGTTTGGCCGGGGAGGAGACTTGAGCTTGAGGGACGTCACAGAAGAGGATGCCGAATGGCTAAGGGCAAGCGACTTCTTGCTTGGGCTCAGTATACCAGCCCAAGGCGCGGTCGGCGTAGCCTCGGGTGTCTTGGACCAGCGCGACTTTGGTTCGTTCGTCATGAACTCCTGCAATGGGCTTTGTTCCTCCTGAGGTCCAGGGTCCGCGAAATCGTTACTTGTCGACCGTAACTCGGGCTTTCCGATGTTCCTTTCCTCGGTCACATTCTCCTGTTGTCCTTTCCTTCCTAGAATAGTGGCCATTTTGCCGAACCAAGCGGTGTGTCTCCTCTCTTCGTGTGGGATAAACGGAGGTGGTGCCTTGCGAGGGATCTTGATCTTCTCCTTCGCGGCAGCGATGAACCCCTTCTTCTGTTCGACCGAGTGCTTTGGTTGGTTCTCGCCGAGGTGACTATCCCATGCCTTCTCAGAGTCCATCTTGGAATCCATGGGGGAGAGAGCCCGGTTCATGGCGGTCCATGCTGGAGTGGGGGTGCCACGGCCACCTCCCTCCGTTGAACCATTGCTATAGTCCTTGAAAGGAACGACCATGCCTTCGATACCTTGACTCTTTTCCTCTATCCACTTCTTCCTCTTCCTCTTCTCCACAAGCTCACGGCCACACGAATGCCAGAGCAGGATAGCGGTGCCCATGAGAACGACGACTCCCCAAAGGCCAAGGAAAATGCCAAACATGACGCGCTCCTTCTTCAGACTGGCCGCATAGGAATTGACCAGTCTACCAATAAGACCTTCACTGTCGTTATTGCCTCCACCAATGGCAGCGGCAGCGATGGGCTGGACGGCTTCGTTAACGGAGCTCGGGGATAGCATAAGAGCGGACTCGTTCATCCTGGGCATATCAATCTTGAGATTGTCGTGCAAGAAAGTCAAAGCATTCTCGATAGCGTCAACTTTGCCTCCAATGAAACAACGGATGAAGTCCTGGGCGGGTTGTTCGAGGATAGTGCCACCGAAAACGCTGTTGACCGCATTCTCGACATCGGTGTAGAACTGGTTAATGGTGCTGTTCAAGCCAGTCGTTGTCTGGTTAACCCATCCGAACAATCCATCGTTGAGCGAAGTCTGAACCGCATCGACGCGGGCGTTGACCTGATTGGCATATGTAGCAGACTGATTGTACATGCTATTGTTGATCGAGGTCGCAATTGTGTTGCTAAAATCGGACACAGTGGAGGCAGCTCGATCTTGGTACTTGGCAACCAACGGACCCATAGCCCACAGCTGCAGTTGCACGGACAAGAGGCCAAAGAAGCCGATCAGGAAGATAGCGACTGCGGGTGGGTGGAAGATGTAATGGAAAAACCACTGCATATGTGTATGCTGTGAAGGGCTGAGGCGGAACAATTGGGAGAGGCGGTTTGTGATGCGAGTAAGCAGTGGATGGGCGCCGTTAGCCTGAAGCATGAGGAGGTTATGGTCCGTGAGCGTCATCTGGGGGACACCTTGAGCAGTCTTGGTGTGGTACATCGTCGGGTCGGTGAGCCACGCTTGGCGAGTGTACTCGAGGTGAGCTTTCATGCAACGCCATTTGTACCAGGTGAGGAGGCAGTTGAGACCGATAAGAACC